GAAGGAAGAAGGTCGGGGAAGGGAGAGGTCGTAGGGAAGATGCGCAGGATGAGGTAATGCAATGGGCAGTACGGGCTTTTCAATTAAAATGGATCAGGTTTTTGTCCGTATCAATTCTTGGTCATACTTTTGTCAGTTCAAAACTCAATAGTACTCCCTCCGTCCCATTGGATTTTGCCAATTTTCCTTTTTTGGTTGTCCCAAAAAAGTTTGCCAGTTTCCTATTAAAGCAACTAATTTGTGGTTCTGCACATTTCTCTCCCCTTTGCACAAATCTCAACCACACAGTTTTTACTATTCTTATTTTTCACCTACTTTGCACTTGGCAAAGTCCATCAGAACGGAGGTAGTATTATTTTTGTCATTCTTCCTAAAATTTAGAGAATTAGTTAATTTTAAGGGAATTTTAGTGAAATTTAGTGAAATTTAAGGGAATTAGTTAATTTTAGGTAGTTAGTTAATTTTAATGGAATTTTAGTGAAATTTAATATATAAATGTTCGTACACATAAAAAATTAACGTAATAATTTAGGAAAGAATGGCGGAAATGTTACTTCACGGCTTTGATAAGACAAAAATATGACTCAATTTAATTTTGACAAAAAACTGACCGACTTCTTCTAAAAAAAATCTTTGCTTCTTCTTTCTTTAAAAAACCGCCGCTTCTCTTCTAAAAAAACGCACGCTTCATCTTCCTTTCTTCCTCTGCGCACGAACAGAGACGATGGAACAAGACTTCAACGGCGAGAAGACCTCCAGAGAAGATGACGGCGACCGCCACTGCGACACCAATGAGACGCGGCGGTGATAACGACCACCACTGCGACACTTCAACTTCTTCGTTGCTCTTCTGTGCCGCTGTTGTTTGCTAGCTTCATCCTTCTCATCCCTTCAACGATGACATTATTTAACGGCAATTTCATATCCGTGGCGGCGATTACAGATCTACGGCGCCGATTACAGATCTATGACGACGATTTCAGAGTTTTGTGCAAGGATGTCTCGCCGGGATGTCGCTTGGCGGCGTTGGGGCGGGTTAGGGTGTAGTTTTGGGGGGCTGGGGTAGGGTGGGCTGTGGCTAGCGTCTTCATCTGCACCGGAAAAGAGCGGAGTAATTAGCTTCTTTTTTATTTGATCGCTCATACCAAAGGGGGAGGGGGGCAGATCTCTGCTTGGGTTGGGGTTGGGGCTGATTTTGTGGCTAGTGGGGGCAGGGAGGGGCTAGGGGTGGTCACCGGATGAAGCAGTGTAGTGGCGGTCATAAGGCGATGTCACTGCGGCAGTGTCACTATAACCACCGGCGATGTCACTGTGGCCGTCGGTGGTGTCACTGTGGCCGACAATAACGGAAATGTCACTGCATGAATGTCACTGCGGATATGTCATTGTGAATCAGTCACATTTTTGTCCAATTTGAAATGTGCTCATTTTTTTGGAAATTAGCCTTAGTTTAGTAATATTAGGGGAAAAACCCCATAATTTAGTGTATTTAGTGTTGAAATCATAATATTGGTTATTAGTTAATAATTTAAATGATTGCATTGAAATTTAATATATTAATAATACTCCGCATATGTTAGTAATGTTTATAGTTTAGAGTTTTTAACCTGTATAATTTTTTTATTATAATATTCAGGCATAATGTATAGACAAAATAGAATTTGAATGTATGATAAACATGCGGTATTATACGGAATGCAATCAAATTTTCTTGAAGGAGTTGAGGAATTTATTAAATTCGCACTTGAACACCCGGCTTATATGAGTGGTGATAAAATCAGATGTCCATGTTCAAAGTGTAAAAATCTCAAACTTAAACACCAGACGAAGTTGGGTGAGATTTGTACGCCAAGGTCCGTGAACTTTGGTGGGACCTGTTCAAGGTAAAAAAAATGAATGTTCCCTACGTAATTGTACTGACTAAAAATTTGACAAATGATAAATTAATTTTTTTTTTAATAAAGGCCCGGTTTCGTTGGACTGAAAAACAAGGCCCCGCTATTCTAAGGGCGTATAACGCCAGAGTTTCAAACTGGCTTCGTCCCACTTTTAAGCGTACCCGAGCCAGTGGGGTAAGGCCTCAATGGTGTTCGGATGAGGAGTGGGAAGACCTCGTCCGCCACTGGTCTTCGGATCCGACCTTCTTCGCTAGAAGCAAAGCCGGGAAGAAAAATCGGATGTCCGAGAAGGCATTAACGACACAATGGCACGGAGGCCACAAACCTCAGAGTAAACATAAAGATGCTCTTGTAAGTCTTATTCAAATAAACCTTACACCATTTTAACGCTTTATTTTTTTACATTTATTTAAGCCTTTTTCGAACCTTGTAGGCAGGGCCTCAAAAGAAGAGGGTCTCTATCCTCAAGGTCATCAAACATTGTTGGACTCGGCACGGTGATGAGTCGGAAGCCGATCTGCCACCCCGCTTTACTTAAATCGAAGTACGTAACATCAATTTTATTATTTCAAATCGAAGTAAATATCATTTCACTAATTTTTGTACATGCTTGTAGACGAAGTATAACGCAAATGTTGAGAAGAAGCGGGCACAATTAGGCTTGACGCAGGAAGATGAGATCGATTCTGACGTGGAAGATGATGTGATCCTTGAGGCAGCTGGGGTGTACAAGGGTCGGCTTCTGTGCCTCGAGGCTGAGGGGAAACGTATTTTGTACGATCGCGGCGGCAGCGGAGCTTCATCATCTTCTCGATCAAGGCGGGGAGAGGATCCACGCATCGCCCAATTGCAGCGAGAATTGGAGGAGCAGCAGCGGGCATTTGAACAGCAACGGAAGAATGATGAAGAAACAAGGGCCCGGCTGGAAGCAATGGAACGGATTGTTGCCGGATATCAGCCTCCGCCTCAACCTCTTCCTCGGTCGTACATGTTGCACGTTGAGCAGACTCCTCAGGTTCCGCAGATGGGTCATATGTGTTATCATTCTAACTCCGGATATGGTACCATTCCTGCAATGGGGTCGACATTCGGATCTCTGTCGTCTGATTTTCTCAATCAATTTCAGTCATCCGGTGGAGGCAGTCGAGGAAGCAACCGAGGAAGCAAGCGAGGAAGCAACCGAGGAAGCAATCGAGGAAGCAACCAAGGAAGCAACCGAGGAGGCAACCGAGGAGGCAGCCGCAGCAGCCGAGAAGGTACCCGACCCTTAGACACCGTGGATGCTGAAGAGGATCATCATCGTGATTATGATGATAATGATGATGCATATGATTATGATGATCCTAATTTTTATCATAATGGAGTCCGACGTGCGGGCATGTAATAATACATTTTTTAAGTTTAACATTTCATATTAGTTTTATAATTCAGTCTGTAATAACATTTTTTATGTTTAACATTGTATGGATTTTGTTTTTCATTTAATGTTCTAATTGCTTTAAAGTAAAATTAAAACAATTTTCAATTTTTTTAAAATGGATTTTTTTTAAAAAACCAAAAATTTTAGTCACAGACTAAATCCGTGACTATTTTTTTGGTCCGGAACTCTTTTCTAAATTCAAATTTTTTTTTTAAACATAGTCACGGATACATGTCCGTGACTAAAACAAATTTTGAAAATCTAAACCGCGGGCTTTTAAAAATTTGAAAATTTCAAAACTTAGTCACGGATTAGTCTGTGACTAAAATGACCGAATTTTAAAAACAAAAAACAATCTTAGTCACGAATCGGTCCGCGACTAAAATAAAAATAAATAAATTAAAGGTAGTCACGGATCAGGTCCGTGACTACCGTGCCGGAGTAGCAATTTCGGTCAAGAATTAGTCACGGACCTGGTCCGTGACTAATCCGTGACTACACTTAGTTACGGCCAAATTTCAGTGACTACATTGTAGTCACGCGGAATAAGTCACGGACTTAGTCACGGACAAAATGCGTGACTAACATAGTTAGTCACGGATTTTTTACACTGCGGTCCGTGACTAAGTCCGTGACTACAGACGATTTTTTTTGTAGTGCCGGAGCTTCAGTTCCCGGGAAAGAACCGTCACACAGCAAAACAAGCACAAGCAGAAAGAAAAATCTAATTGGCTCATACATCCACCAAGAATCTTCTAAGACTTGGTTTCACCACTTCGTCATTGGCATCATGGGACAGTTAATGAAAAACCATTGCATCATGTCATTATTCAAAGAGGACGAACTGTCGTCTAGGATTTGTCTTGGCCTCCAACTTTCAAAGCTCACTTAAAATGTTTCTATGAGGTGACAATGGCCGCTTTTTATTAAGAAAAATAATACTGTATATGATTCTTTACTCAAAACTTACAAATTTTATTGTGCTCATTGTATAATGTTACTATTCCTCATGCCTATTTGTTTTCCAATTCCAATACTTCACACACAATAAACTCAATTCAATTTAAACTAATATATAATTGATTAGGTTTACTTATTTATAATAGAAAATCTTTTGCTTTCAAATTTCAATACTTCACACAGTAAACTCATTTCAATTTAAACTAATAGAATTAAGAGAGATTTCTCAAAATAGGAGTAAATAGAGTTTGGAATTCCAAAATAGTACTATATTTTTATTCCCGAAATATGACTAACCTGGAAGTATTTACTGTCATCTTGTAGGTGTGACTGCCAAATAATTGTAGGGTAGTGCATTTAACATGACAGTATTATTTATAATTAACGGCAATATTTTTTCAATCATGGCAGTATTTTGCATACATAGCAATAACAACACCTATTTCGCGAAAAAAACATAATAATCCTATTTTGGAATTTCAAACCTCATTTACTCCTATTTAGGGCAATTTCCCTATAATTAATTATGTTCACTCATTTGTTATAGAAAATCTTTGGAATAGCATACAACTATTGTTTTCAATTGGATTGAAATTTTCTGATATTATTTGATATAATCTGATCTAGTCTTTTAAATGTTTAGTCTATGAGCATTTTACAACTATCGAGGTCTAGTCTGATACCTTGATAAGTCTAGCCTAGTTTGATAAAGAATAGTCATTTCACACGAACCAGAGCAGCAGTGATTACAAAAGTTCACTTAAAAATATATAAGTTGTGTTAAGTAATACAAACCGTTAGCACCCAAAAACGATAATGACACAATGGGAAAGGAACAAAAAGTAACGCATTCCCTAACCGTTCAAGGCCTTTTTTAGATACGCTACTTGCAAAAGCCATGCATGCATTCACATTTTCATTTGTACAACCAACAAACTTTAGAACCAACAGGAGGTGCAACCAGTCAGTCAGTCTCAGAACCATTTCCTCCAACTAGATGAACCTTTATCGCCACCACCACTAGACAACAACCTAGGAATACTAAGTAGACTGTTCACCCGGGCTATACCTTCAAGAGCAGACCATTCTTCCTCATCCCCAGTTGAAAGGCACTCGGCTAGGCTTCTCTTTGATTGATCATGGGCAACACCGCCGCTGCTCCTTGTACCTTTAGTTGGATTCTCTTCAACAGCCACTATTTCACCACCACCAGAGTGTTGTTGTTCAAATACACCAACACCACACTTTTTAATATTATTATCAACATCATCATCATCATTTGTAGTCGAGATCGTGTGAGGCTCTTGTACAGCTATCGACAATTTTTTCAAAAAGAGACACACAACCGCACAATCGTCGTTCTTGGAAGTGGGGTACTTTAGTCTCCACGCTCTATTCGCACACTCTACAAGGGCTCTGGAAGCTGAGGAGGGACCTGCAGGAGCAGAGGCCGCCACTATATCTACTACTTCCTTGTTTGACAGAACATCCCATACCTTCACCATTTGAGAAACAGGAGAGCCCATGCACATGTTACATTACATATACCTCCAATTAATTAACAGTCTGTTTGGAAATGCTAGGGATATAAAACACATCAAGCAAAAACAACATGGACGGAAAGTAAATGTGTGGGAAAAAAATAAAAAAAAAATGCTTTAAACTCCATTGCTCAACTTAAGTATTTCTATAATTTCTATAATATAAAGACTTGAGAAATCTAGATTTAAGTACAATTTGAAGGAAAAACAATTAAGCATATTTGATGATTTTCCTTCATTAAAAAAACAATTTATTCCTGTCCTCCCTTTCAAGACCATTTTCCCATTTCCCGATAATTGCGTAAAGAGCAGATAAAAAAACTTGCAGGAATATACCCCATCAGTTGCAAGGACAACAAATTCGTCTCTGGCAGTTATGCGGTGGTAATATACATCTGGAATGGAAATTAAACCAAAATCCTTAAGACAGAAGTCACCAAATGCTCTAGCCATTGCAAGTCCAGGTGAATCACTGTTGGGTAACCATACACGTGCAACTTCTGGTTCATCTTGCAATGCAAAAACCCTTCCTTTGCATTTCTGGATTCTAGCAGCTTCTCCTGAAACAATAGAAAAAATTTCGTTTTGAGTCAATTGCATGGTAACAACCATTTTATTAATTTAAATGTACATGGCTGCATATTAGGAGCGGATAAACGAAGAGAAAGACTTGGAAGGTTAGGCTTCAAATCTACTGTCAGTTGAACAGCCATTAATGAGTCGTCTTTATCTCTTGTTGCTAGTATAGCTCTTGAATCACCAACATTTCCAACTATGATATCCTGTCCCTGAGAAGGAAAAGAGAGGGAGAGAAAATTGTTTCCTGATCGTTTTATCAATTACAATACTGGCGAATTAAAATGTCACTTTGAACATTTTGAGTTGTAAAAACCAGTTAGTAATATTTATAAAACGAGCACTATGATCAAATGCATAATCCCGAACCATGTAGTCTTAATTGATCAAATTTCTGAATAGAAGAGATAAAATAGTAATAATAATAATAATAAAAGTAGTAGTAATAACAGTGATATTGTATTCCTTAACATTTAGTTACTCAGTTACCTGTACCACCAATATAACAGCAGTTGACCCACTACAAAAACAGTCAATAGTGGGATGCAATTTGAGCTCTTTATCCATAGACTTGAATGCCTTTAATATTGACTGCTTAAGTGGAACATGCACTTCGGGGAATTTCTCAGCTTCCTCTGTTGATTCGCACAAATCATCATCGATGAATTCATCAAGTTGTGAATTTCCAATATCATCCCCATTCACAACGGTGGCACAGGTTGGATTGGCAGAAGACATGACTTCCCACTCGGTGTTCAACAATAGTGGAAGTGAATCTCTAACTTTCCGTGCAACCATATGGCCATAAGGCCCATGTCCATCAAATACTCCACAAAAGGTTGCTCCCATTCTCGAACAGAAATTCTATTGTAGAAACATTTCCAATCAAGTCATAAACTGACGCAATCCACAAAACAAATTGATTAATTCTTTGACAGTAAAATACCAAATAAAAACTGTTTGTAATTGCTATCTTATCTTTGATTTTCTAGCCAAAATGGCATCCTAACATTACCAAAGATAACTTCCAGCACACAAGCTTCATAAAACAGTTTTAGAAATTGAAAATCCACAAATTGAGATCATACACAAGTATGAACTGTGAAGCAGCTAATAATGGGATAAAAATAAGTACCTGCGCGGAAGTTCTATGAGCTAATATAGATTATGCAATCTAAAACACATAGAAAAACTATTGGTTTAAAATTTTAATTCAGCTGATGATAAGGCTAACACTCTCCCCAGGTTAGTAAAACAGACATGTTCTTAATAAGGCAAGGCACCAAGTAGTTGATCTATCTTTGAACTTTGGGACCCATGAAAAGTTTTGAGCTTTCACTCATTCACTCAAGCAAAGATCTGATTTAACTAAGGTAAGGAGCAGTCGACTGTTGTAAGAATATGGAGCAATACAAATGTTGGAAAAGAATTGCCGGACTAGAAACTTGAAAAGCCTTTCTAGATTGCATTTTGAAAAGAAGCCTTACTTTATTACTTTTCTTTTTATTCCCATTGAAAAGATTCAATTTTTACTACTCTAACAGACAAATGACGGTCAAAGGAAAGGGACAGACCTCCCAAACTATCATAGCGTCCTGATTGGTTCCTTTCTTTCCTTGCTGAGTAAACAAGCTCGCAACATCGCTCGATCCATTTGCAAACAGTCTTCCAGGAATCTGATGCCAAGCACGCTCCTTCATCCCCCCTCCGCCCAATGCTCCGCTTCCAGTGACGCCGCCGTTTAGCTTGCTGAAAAATGAGCTCAGCTCGCCACTAACGCTGCCCATGACGGACCTTCTGCCGCTGTCATTTTTTATGTTACCTCTGCCGTTTCCCTTGTCCGAAGAAGAGCATATACCCATCTGACTTCAAATCCGAACTGTTCCTATGTTCACTTTCTATAATTCGAAGAATAATTTTCAAGTTAAGAGCTGCAACAGAATAAACCAATTGTTCAATCAAAGAATGGGGGAGAGCAATATGGAGAGCCAAACATGGAAGTAAACGATGTCATTCAACCCTAGAGATCGTTGCAAGGGAAAATGAGAAGGTACAGAAAGATAAGAGTCTATTCCGATGTACCAAAAACGAAAGATAAGAGAGAATGAGAAACTGCAAAATTGATAAGTTGGTTGTTTTCTTCTTTCTTCTTTTATTAAAAGGGTTTTCTTTGAATCGATAATTCAAAAAACGCTGTAATAATGGATTTTATCGGCGAAATTCATACGGGGAATGTTAATTCATAGTCATCTCCTTCTCCTTTCTAAATTGCTATTTCCGTCCCGCTATAATTGTCCCGTTTTATCTTATCGGTCCGTCCCATTAAGATTGTCTCATACTAAATTTGGCAAAATTTGTGTGACTCTAAATCATTCTTACTTTATTCTTACTTTATCAATTCAATATCAACCACATAAATCACTTTTTATTGATTTGCTTGTCACTTCCTCTTGTTCCATTGTTAGCGGGACGGATGGAGTAACTTTTTTTGTCTTAAGTAATTTTCACTTTCTTTTCTAGGTAATTAAGTTGTGATTTTACTTATATTTTCTCTTCTGTACACAGTTCACATCAACCACACAATTTTTAGTTTTTATTTCACACATAATTCAAATTTGACAATGTACAATGTGACAAAGATAGTATATGATAAAGATTAAGATGATATGTTTGTAGGGTTACTTTGTGTAGTTCATTTCATTCTAATTTATAAGGAGTGTTTGCATTTTGGTTGTGATGGGTATATATACTTGTAGTAGAGCAAGTAATGAGTTAAGTAAATATTGAAAACTAGAGAGAGAAAATGTGTATTCAAAATATTGAAATAATTCGGAATGTGAATCCTTTTCTACATTTTGGAAGGAGAATTTATAGTATTGCGAAATTTTGAAGGACAAGTTAGTCATAAACCAACGGAAGTGTACATGTGTTTATGCATATCCTCACATATACGCCATGATGTTGTAATGATGTCGTATGTGATGGGTGTGATTACATTAGCCATGTGGCAGTATCATATCAGCATGGAATAGAGTGACATCAGCCCTAGGATCTGTTGTTGGGATGTTGAATTCGGGTAAGTTCCTGATAAAATAAAGAGATCGAGGCGGGACCGGATCCTCTCAGTCATGTCGGACTTCCTCAACCCCATGTAATGAGACCTTTCTTGCATAAATTTCTCTCATCCGAGGCGGGGATTTCTTTCCTTAACTATAGTTGTGTGCAACTAACATGGAGGGGTTATCTTTGACTGTTCTTTTGGGCTCAGGGTAGGTGTCAATATACTTCATCATGAGTCCACCGCTCTGAGAGGTGACATGGCGGAGGTAAGGGGGCATAGTAGGCCTTGGCTCATCTCAAGTTTCAAATATTCATTATTTTTTAGTATAAAGAATCTCGTGTGAAAATTTATCCAAACAAATCTTTGTACTCTCCCAGCATAATTTATGGCCTGAAAAGCAATAACTCTTCAACGTGAAAGGTATAAATGTTTCCCCCTTTTCCCTATCATCTGGAAGATCTTCTCGAGATCATCCACGTGGTTGTTGGAGCTTTTGATTACGATAACCATGTCATTTACATATATCTCCATGGTACGACCTAAGATGCTCTTGAAGAGTTTGACCACCACTTGAGTGTATGTTCGTGCAGAGTTATGGTGAAATGATATGATGAGATAGTAGGTGATGCCTTTCAAGTCATGAACAATGTCTTTTCTGTATTCGACTCTTGCATGAATATCTGGTGATAGCCTAAGAGTGCATCCATAAGCATATTAGCTTGCATCTTATCATGACATCTACTTAGATGCTCAATGTTAGTGAGTGGGAAGAGATCCATTGAGTAAGTTATGTTCATATCCTTATAGTGCATGCACATCTGCAAAGTTGGAGGTTTAGGTACAAGGACTACGTTAGGTAGTCATAGTGCGCATTTGAACTTAGTTATGTGGGCGATTTTAAGAAGCATGGTCACCTTGCCCACAACAAACTCCCTTTCCTCGGTTTGAAGGTATATGTTCTTTTACCTCACTAGGATGCAAGCAAGGTCGACTGTCAATCTGTGTGTTATAATGTTTCTTCTAATGTGAGGAATATCCTCAAGTCTGCAAGCAAACACAATAATGATTTTTTTAAGACAAATATGATAACTTTCCCCAACTCTTTTATCAGTTTCGTATTGATCTGCGCTAGTCCATCTATATGGTCTTAAACTCATCCACGAGCTCGACTTGCAGCCTACCCTTCTCACTAGGACTGATGTTAAGATAGTGTGGATTTTAATGACCTGAGCAATTCTTTTTTATTAATTTCAGATAACATGTGTTGGCAATCTTTAGGCTTCCTCGGGTATAGACGACTCCAGTTTCTATTGGGAATTTCAAGCATGGATGCTTCGTGGTAATTTGAGCCTCTAAATATACCCAAAATCATATTACGTGCACACTTGAGCCAGACCAAAATGAACTCGACCAGGAGTCTGTCTGGATTAGAGTCATCTCCAACCTCAATGAGACGTTCTATAGTGCTCTCTGCATATATAGGGTTTCTTGTGAACCTAGAGTGGCACCCTGAAAGGCCACAAGGAGTTGCAGTCCAATGCCAACTTTTGAGTGGTTTCTCATGCATGATGTTGATAGAGGAGTCAATACCAACATAATATCGGTGGATGGTTACATCATTGACTTCACATTTAATGATCAATGCATCTCTGTGTGGGAAAGTGAAGTCGGGAAGGTCTTGATTGGTGAAGTAGAACATGTTCACCTTATCCTCTTCACCTTCACCGTTGATGAGTTTGTGACCTCACCCTTACACAATGAGTTGGCTCATTCCTTCCTTTGCATTGGTATGTCTCTATCGGTATAAATCATCCTAGCATCACACCAATGTCTTTGGTTACGTCTATCATCATTGGTTTCGTCTTCATCATTGATGACTCAATTTCTCTTTTCAGATGCACGGTTACTCCCCCTCATGTTTCGATAGGTAGGTCTAATTATTCCATATATATTTGTGACACCCCTGCCCCGTAGGGCCTGAGGTAATTACTCATGAATGTCATTCAAACCTCTAGTCATGACCTCACAAACCAACACAAACTTTTATCACACACTTTGTCCTCACTCATGCGCGCCCTGAGAAACTTCTCAAGGGTTCACCCATCTCAAGACTACTTTCGTGCAAGCACGCTTAATTTATAATGAGATCCTTTAAAAGGAGACGCACTGTCACGCCCCAAACTTCAATCTAAGCGCGTGTACAACCGCCGTATAATCGAGTGACGTCACCTGCGGGTCAACCTCACTTAATCATACAAGGCGTTCGAGCAAACAATCCATCCATACTCAGTAGTAAACATACATAACAACATCACAAATTAAACCATTGAATAGCGGAAATATTCAGCGGTAATTCATAGCAACATTCGGCCAATAACATGGGCATGCAAGCCCAAAAGTAATTTAAAACAAATAAATATATACATGAGCAATATTTAATAATTTGAAATAACATGAGGAAGCACGAACCACATCTTCCTTGAATTTGATGTCACTCGTAGAAAGGTGCAGGTAGCAAGCCCTAGCTTCAACCTGAAAATGGTGGGCCCCCCGAAGGGGTCAGTACAAGTACCGAGCGAGTAGCAGGCTAAATATAGAATAACTAGCGTTTCAAGTATAAGACCCAAACATAGGGTGATACTTATGTAAGTAGTCCTTTCACCCAAGTTAAGAAATACTTAATAGTATATATACACTTGGAAAATACTCGATCCGTAGATCACCGTTTTATTTGGGGGAAATAGTAATAGTCAATATTCTTGACTAAAAACCCCAACCCACCCATATACTTATGAGTGTATAGGACTTCTCCTTATCCTTATTCCAATATCATAATCTATGAGTTTTGAGGATAAAATAATCCTTGGGTACTCCACCAATATATATTTGAGTGTTAAGGACTTTTAGTCCTAGGGTCCTCCACCAATTTATAATCCGAGTGTTATGGACTTCAAGTCCTAGGGTCCTCCGCCAATTTATAATATAAGTGTTAAGGACTTCAAGTCCCAGGGTCCTCCACCAATTTATAATATGAGTGTTAAGGACCTCAAGTCCTAGGGTCCTCCACCAAGTTTATAATATGAGTGTTAAGCACTTTTGGTCCTAGGGTCCTCCACCAAGTTTACAATCCAATGATCAACCTCATATCAACCTAGATAGAGTCTATATCATATTTATTCACTCATAGCTAAATCAATCCATAAAGCTTATGTATCTCAATCCATGCAAAGCCATGCATTTATATAAATTTATAATTAACTAATACCAACCAGTATTAATTAATCCATTATCCATCGGTCAACATTTTCGTTGACCGCCATTTCAAGCCTTGTACGTCTCAACTTAATCATCATATAATTAAGTTAATAATATCCATTTGTGCTTCTCTTGCACTTCAAGCAAATATGCCTTATATATAATTCCTCATATCATATTTTATGCATAACCGATTAATTCCTTTCATACAAACTTAACCATGTTGGCTAATCACATGTTTAAATATCTTTTAAACATCGTTATGAACACATATAACATTTATTTAGGTAATCTCATAATTAACCCAAAAGTTATAAGATATTAAGCCGTCCACTCACCTTAAATGAGCTTTAGCGTGTTCTACGCTCCTCGGTTGAACTCCGGCGAAACTCCGGCGAAACTCCGGCGAAACACCAGCGAAACTCCGGCGAACTCCGGCGAAATCTAGAAACACTTTCGTTAAGCTCCTTTATTCTCAAATTTTTTCTCTAATTTGCAACCTTTTCCTTCTTCCTTAAGCCCCTTGCTTGCTTGAGCTCTCTTGACTATGGAGAAATCGTGTTTGCAGGGGTTTCTTTCTCCTCTTGGACTGCTTGGTCGAAATGATAGGGGGAGGTGAGGTGAGAGGGTTGGTTTTGTCTCAAATGTAAGATGATTGAGGGGGGAAGTCCACCCAAGGTCATCCCATACAAACCAAACACCCTCAACTATCCAACACCACACCTCAATACTATGTAGCCCCTCAAGTCAACCTCTAGCACTCCAAAAACGTGGGGTGGTCCCCACTCATGTGGGAGGTCATCCCTTTATGTCCCGAACTGTAGAATCAGGCCCGAAAGTTGTATTTTTCGGACAATTTTAAT